GAAGAACAGCTACCACCAGAATGATTACACATATCCGTACGTCCATCTTCTAGTCTCAGTCGAAGCCTAAAGAAGTACCCGGTTGAGAAGAAGTCTTTATGTACAGCTTTTTGTAACAGCCAGTCGCCTCTTGGACAAACACAATGTAACTTCTTGGTTCATATCTATTTATAGTGACAACTCATATCCTATGTCACGTGCACCTTCCTGTGAGAGCTTTTGTTTGATCTAGCAAAATAATATTTACCAACGTTTATGACGCATTTTCATATTGACTAATGAATGGGTTTGGGCTCCTTTTCACAGTTGTTCATGATGTTAGGTATTAGTTAAACAAAATATTGACATTGAAAAGTTTACCAAGTGAAGTGCCATTCATGTGAGACGTTTCCTACGTCATCGTATTTCGAGGAGCCCATTGTGGTGTTTATTAACATTTTTCCAAGAACCCAGTCAGCCAAGAATTCGTTTTAGCGGGAATGAAAATAACTGGACAATGAAAGGAGAGCGTATCCCACGACTCAAAGTGATCCAATGTATGTACAAAGGACAGTTAAACCTCCTCTGTGCAAACTGAACTCTTGTTTGAAGAAAATGACATTTTCCTGCTTGACAACCTTACAAGAATCTGTATTGAAAAGTCGCACCCACGAATTAAAGAAGTTGCTATCCAAAAAGTTTGTTTATATTTTACTTCCCAACTTCTAAAATGCCAGACAAAGACGTTGTTTGAAGACATTTATGTTACTTTGTATCTGATATTTTACGTGATAATATATTATCTTACACGACGCGATGACTGAGAGAAGATTGAGAAAACAATTCGCCCGTCTTTGTATAGTGGCCGTCATTAATTCGCTTTACTCTACTTCTCATGATCACAAGATCAATAAGCCTGCCACTTCCTGGTCCGTGTTTGATCAGATGGCTTGAAGTAACACCTCTTCATACACGAGGTAGGTGGTCGAGCTGGCAGATGCAGAGTAGAATGCATTGCTCTTGTATATATTTGGTTGAGAGCTGAATCGTGTCATCCCGACATGGGACCGAATGGGGACTTTTTCTCACTCCCGAGTTATTTCTTAATATGATTACCAGTTAGGTCGTCAAAAGAGTCCTACATAGTTGTCTACAGTTGACAAAGTTGTCTACAGATTTACGTAGTCGATTACGAAACTTTCAACGGGTGATACTATTGTGACAAAATCCACCAACATGGCCGCCAACAAAATAGGGAACAGAACTCTCGGATTCGAACCCACCGTACACCGACAGAAAAGCAACACTATAAAAGCACTAGAACCCATAATAACATGACGGAAACTAATGATAGCAATAGTCCAGCTATAAGATGAAGACGGACTGCAAATTGATCAATCTTGACCAGTGATTAATCTAATGAGCACCGTCTCAGGCCGTCATGGCTCATGACATGAGGCCAACTAAGTCACCGAGTCTAACCAACCTATCACATTAATAGAAATGCAGCGATTTCTAGATACATAAGCATTGTCAAACTTGAACTCCCGTTTGTTCTCGGATGGTAGGGACGGTTGGGTAGCCTAGTGGTTAAGGCGTTGGCTCGTCACGCCGAAGACCCGGGTTCGAATCCCCACATGGGTACAATGTGTGAAGCCCATTTCTGGTGTCCCCCGCCGTGATGTTGCTGGAATATTGCTAAAAGCGGTGTAAAACCAAACTCACTCACTCACTAACACTACAGTGACTCACTCAGTCAGTCTCGGATGGTAGTTAAGATGGTAGACAACAGTGACAAACTTTATGTTTGGATGTTAAAAATGGTCAAAATTATTCAATTAAAAAACTAATCACATGACATGGCGGTCACCGCAATTAACCTTAGACGGTATTCAATTTGGCATCTCAGAAAAGAAATTCAGTTCGCTCTACCACAATGCATATATAGTGTAATCGACCCCATGGACCTTAGTATGGCGATCTAACATCAGTTGCTGGCGATCCTTAGCCCGTTTTAATATTGTACTGTTCTTTTTAATAATATCTGTGATCAATAATACCTTATCTGTGATCAATAATACCTTATCTGTGATACACTAGTATTTTTATTGTTCACCGTGAACAGTTTTTAATTTTTAAATTTATTGATCTTTAATGTGATACAGGGGCGTAGGAACGGTTTTCAGAGCACAAGGGACAAGGGTGTGTACACCCGGTCACAGGTGTGGGGGGTGTGGGGGTGTGTGGGGTCTAATTTATGAAAAGTATTGAAAATCAAAATGAAATTGTACTTTTGGTAAGGTAGATATCGGCTTAGCCCCCTGTTCCTACGCCCCTGTGGTAATTGGTTATTCTCGTCACGTTATGGTTGAAATATTGCCAATGTGACGATAAAAATTAACTCACACACTCACTCACACACTCTCTCGCTCTATTACTCTTTCACTTTATTACATTATACATGGTGGTTGAGCGAACTGTATTAAGAAATTGTTTATATAGTCCGGCAACTGAACTTTTGGCACCCTGTTTTTCACAATTTACACAATTTAACCAAAAATGCCTTCAAAATGTTTTTAGGCATACGCTCTTTATATCTTATGACCTATCTAAGGTTTAAATTTCATAATTTAATGTCAATTATTAAAGCTTCTTCTTAAGAAGCCATCTTATAAAAATATGAAAAATAGAAGTAGTTGTACAAGGGAGAAAATGAAACGATGGAACAGCAAACAACATGCGTGACACGCGTGCATCTTGTTTACATTGTTTTACCACAACACACAGATCCATTTTGTGTGTTGATGATCTTTGACATCACTTGAGCGTGCTAATGTAAATACCCGTGCATGTACATATCACGCTGACACACATGTTACAATGTTGTTGGCTTTTCCATCACGTGCGTTAACCCCTCGTAAAACTCTCTACAGTTTTACAATTATTATATGACAAGTTTAAAGGCAAAATCTTTAATAATCGTTTTAGAATTACTAAAATCGATATCTTGTTAGGTCACAGTATACAATTACCATATGAACAGAGTAGCGTTTTAAAATATTCAGGAGTTTTATGTAAATTGTGAAAAACAGGGTGCCAAAAGTTGACGGACTGTAAGAGTTGTAGATATGAACAAGGGTTTTACATTGTGTTTATCCAAGAGGCGGCTGGCTGTTGCGAAAAGCTTCTCACACACACACACACACACACACACACACACACACACACACACACACACAAGGAGAAATTGTTTATTCCGTTTCAGCAAATGCATGTTCTAAGTTTAAAATACAGTATATACCAAGATTATATGTAAAAGCCACCATAATGATTATGCGAGACGTTAAAACATTAAACGTCTATAACAACACAAACCATGAACAATAAATAAATTGAAAATAATGGAAAACCTTTCACACCGTAACAACTATCATAATCACATCTAAAGCTCACCGACAACACACACATACACACAATATCACAGTATAAGAGAGCCTAACAACCCAGATATGCACAGTTTAACAGGCCACGTACACTTTAATTAAGTCACACAACCAACATGCCTGCAATCAACTAGATCACACAACAAGCATACACACAATACACTAAATCATATGACCAACATAAACAACGGTCTACTCCCATTTGTGAGAACTCCCAGTTGTGAGACTCCCAGTTATGAGACAGTGGAGTAGGTAATTAACAACGAAAACACACCATACTCCCCTGTCTGATAGAATGGATTCACCCTAGCTAATTACTTATTTGCTATGTAACTGAATCTTGTGGAGGTAACTTAATGAAACTTTATAAGATAAATTGATTAACATACTCAGGTAAATGTCTTTAATAATTAAACACTTTGTGTAGGTAACTTCGTGATCAAAGAGAAATTAATTTACCTACTCAGATTTACTCCGTCTCCGAAACTACAAGCTATAGTTTAAGAAATAACTCTGAAATAACTCTGAAATTTACAGTCGAAGTGCCCCTTATGCCAAACCCTTTCTACCCGACACAATAAATTTATGGAATGCCCTGCCTAATTCCAAAGAGTCATGCGGTCTCAAAGAATTTTAAAACCTAATTAATAAAACCGAAAACAAAATTTATATTGATCTTAATAATGGCTCTTGTTTTTGTCAAATCGTTCACTGCCTGTGGGTACTGGGCTGGGCTGATCCCACTTTCATTGTAGGGATGTGGAAACACCACCTTTGTGCACTGAACCATTAATTAATGTGTCTCACAACTGGGAGTTCTCACAAATGGGAGGACACCTACACAACACACCATAGGGGCGTGTCTCGCTTAGAAACAGCGTTAGAAATACATATAGGTGTATAGACCCAACCCTATTACTATATAAAAGGATCGGGTTGGGTCTATACACCTATATGTCTTTCCAACGCTGTTTCTAAGCGAGACACGCCCCTATGGAACACACTAGGTTCAAGGCAAAACGTACATAGTGAGTGAGTATGGTTTACGCCGCTTTTAGCAATATTCAAGCAATATCACCGCGGGGACACCAGAAATGGGCTTCACACATTGTACCCATGTGTGGAATCGAATCCGGGGCTTCGGCGTGACGAGCGAACGCTGTGACCATGAGGCTACCCCATCGCCTCGAAAATGTAAATTAAAGACATAAGGCGCCCCTCGAAATGTGATGACTTAGGAAACGCGTCACTACACGTCACTTTTCAACAGAACATCAATATTTTATTTAGCTGTCAGATCGAATATCTAATTAGAAGACATCATAAACAACTCTAAAAAGTTGGCCAAAATCATTCATTAGTCATTATCAAAATTAGCCATAAACGTGGGTAAATTATATTTTTTCAAGATCTAACAAAAGCAACTCGCGCAACAAAGTGCACGTGGCATACAACGAGAGTTGTCACTATAAATAGACGTGAACCAAGGTGTTACATTGTGTTTATCCAAGAGGCGGCTGGCTGTTACGCAAAGCTGTACATGAAGACTTCTTCTCAACCAGGTACTTCTCAACAGCTTCAGCTGATACTTGAAGATGGACGTACGGACATGTGTACTCATTCTGGTGGTCTGTGTTCTTCTCGTCGGTGGAGCCCCTCCCGGGGAGAGAGGGGTCCTCCTCCGGATAAAGATTCGGAAAAATGTGAGTGAGTGAGGTCGAGATGGTATAGCCCATTGGAGACATTCTATAACCCGTTGGTCCATTAACACAAAGCGATCTTAGCGCTACGACAATACATCGTAACCACTATACATCGGACCCGACATAGTCGTTGCGTTAATGCTGCTTTGCGCAAGTAGGCCTAAGACGTTTATATTCGATTTCACAAATCAGTTTGATTACAAAATATTACGACGACTGTTTAGTTTAGTTATAGAAATTGACAACTTGTAATTACATCGCAGCAAAGACGTACATAAAACATGTAGTTACGTCTTTGATTGCAGGTACACGATTGAATGAATGTTGTTTTACCAGACAGTAATATTGTCACCGCGTATCATTGTTTACGTAATGTTGAGTAGCTTCACAGTATGCTTTTCCCAACAGAATTGGTAACTACTCCGATACTACAAAGCTGAATAAACTGACGAACAAAAGAAACTACACATCTGGTCTTGCGCTGTCAATTGGATACGACATGTGTGGTGTTTTGGCCACACTTACACAGTTAAGATTGATAGATATTTTATTCAAGTCTTACCTCACATTATTATATACATAGAATACAATACACATAAAATACATAAAAAGCGCGAGCCACCCATTCAAGGTTACGAGAGACTATAAAACAAGATAAAATACATGATGTAATGCAGTAAGAAAAGTACAGAGATATATACAAACATACCAAAGCTAAGAACCACATAAAACACTCTTTCAGTGTATGTGACTTTAAATAATATTCCCCTTTCAAAATATTTGTGTGATTATTCAGAAAATACACCGGAAGCTCCAGGAGTGTACTTTCTTTCGTACGTCAGTCTTTTTTTATTTGTTTGTTTTTCGCCGCACTCAGCAGTATTCCAGCTATATGGCGGCGGTCTGTAAATAATCGAGTCTGGACCAGACAATCCAGTGATCAACATCATGAGCATCAATCTACTCAAGTGGGATACAGCTGGGCCTGACAACCCGATCCCGTTAGTCACCTGCGTCATACCGCGCTCAGTTGATCCACTCAGTATATTTATTATTATTTTTTTCAGACCCAAACCTTGAAATGATTGTCGACTTCCTTTGTCAGATCTGTGCCAAGTCCAACTTACCATGCAAAGATCTTCGATGTTATAACCAACAGTGACACTAGTGTCTTGGAGCTGTCTTTGGAAACAGAGGTGTTCGATGTTATAACCAATTGTGACATTTGTTACTTGGCGCTGTCTTTGGAAACAATTTGACATAACTTTTACGCGGAAATCGCGGATTATGGTTAACACAAGATCATTGTGTCCAGTCTTTTTCTAAGGGGACATTATGCACGTGAATTCCGAAAATGAGCTGGTTAAAGAAAATGTGAAATACATGTTATCATCAGTATGTACCAGACATAACGTTTGGATTGTTTTGTTTTTAGCATTTACAATAGAAATATTTTCTCCCAAATGGAATCATCATTTGATACTTGAATAGATTCTTGATATTTGAATATTAAAAAGATTGTGAATACAAAATTAAATTTTTGCTTGTTCGTTTTAGTTCTTCTTTAGTTATATTTATCTTGAACCTTGCCATTTTGCAAACAACACACTTATGATTCTACAACCCAAAACGATGTAGTCCGTCAGGGGGCGCTTTTACCGCCTGCTCCAAGGGGCGCTACTCTCATTTACAATTCGATGATGCAGCAATTAACCGTGTGGTTGTATATTGAAAGAAACTTTGTGAGTGAGGGTGGTTTACGCCGCTTTGAGCAATATTCCAGCAATATAACGGCAAGGGCCACCAAAATCAGGCTCCACACGTACTGTTCCCAGATGGGAAATCAAATCAGGTCCTTTAGCGTGAGGAGCGAACGCTTTAACCCCACGGCTACCCCAAATGGAACAATGTCCGTACAAAGGTGAGAGTAGGTAAACTGTATTTCAATCATGTTTGTTCGCAAATGCTGCAACCGATCACTGGCACATACCGGATTTGACGGATTTTACGGTGAGCTTCAGTTGACGTATTCAGAGAATAAAAAGAGGTTTGGTGTAGTTAACTCAGGATTGTTTGCATTTGCAAAGCGGTAGACCTCAAAGCAATTCAGCGTGCTTACAATTTATCCCTGGTTTCTGGTATTGTTTAATCTACAACAGGGCCTTTATATAGTCTCCCTGCAGAAACCAAAGACTCAGTCGTGATTAATCGGTTGGCAATTATATTCGTGTTACATTGTACTGACTAGCAAATATACATATGTTTCGTTGGAGTTGGAATATCTGTCTATGCACTCCGCAAGCCCATTCGTAACGAAACTAAGTATAGTCTGTTTGCAGTGAAAACGTACCGATGAATTTCACTTTAAACAAGAAAGTAAATAAAAAAAAGTGAAATTAAGATTGCGTTTGTATTACAAGGGGGTAAGAGTAGTAGTTGGAACACTGAAACAAATGCACGTGCGGTACGTGATGAGCGTTAACTTAGACCAACCCTACTTGTTCTCGGTGTTTCATTTAATGTGCATACACCCTTGTAATACAAACCAATAATAACGATTTGAAACTATGATCGTTTGTTAAACAACTTTTATTCTATGATGAATAAAATTCTGAGATTCAAATGTTCAATTGGCAAGGTAAAATTATGAGGATTCGCAATCTTAATGTCACTTTATTCGATTTACTTTCTTGTTTAAAGTGAAATTCATCGGTACGTTTTCACTGCAAACAGACTATAACTGACGACGAATGCTCTCTTCGTTTACACTCGTGGCTTTCCGGGTTAATTTCCTTCAAGAAACGAACTCTCTTTTTGGCTCGGGAAGTTTTCAACAAAAGTGCGACATTTAACGGATAGTTACGAAGAGGAAATATTCACAGCGTTTACCGAGTTTTAGCACTGCTTCAGCGACTTTCTAGGTTTGAAAGTTAAACATTAAATTGCTTTGAGGTATATTATTCATCAAGGAATCACCGCACTGGTAGGAATATTTCATCTGTTTACACATTTTGAATATGACACCCCGGTGTGTTATACTATGATGTATGTTAATGATATTATATCTTTCTGTTAAACACCGATCTCTTACAATCACATGTCACCATTATCGGGATATTCACAATGTTTCCAAATGTGTCACACGATCTCGATCTTTATTACACGTGACATTAAACAATGTAACTAGCTTTGCAACAACAACAATATGCATTACTGAGTAACACTTCAACGTAACAATGACTCCAGTTGTGTAACGGTTCTCAGTCAGTAATAATGTTATACCACATCCAAGCAATATTCCACCTATAAGGCGGAAGTCTGTAAATAATCGAATCAGTACTAGACAATCCAGTGATCAACATCATGAACATGGACCTACGCAATTGGGAAACGATGACATGTGTTAACCAAGTCAGCAAGCCTGACCGCCCGATCGTGTTTGTCACATTTTACGACAAACATATGTTACTGAAGATTACTTTTAACCCGGATCTTCACGGGTCTTATCATTAGGGCCCCGTTCCTGAAGATCGTAGCGCTAAGTTGATCGTAACTCCTATACTTTAACATAGACTTACGACTGTCGTAGCGCTACGATCGCCTTGAGGAACGGGGCACAGGATCACGTCATGCAAATATGTGGTCAGTAAATAGAGCTGAAGAAGAAGATTAGTATACTGTCATACATTTCAATCGGTAAGCAGTGACAGTATTATACAATTATAGACTCTTGTAGAGATCGATATCGGTTTTTATTGACCTGAGTAAAATAATATCGACCGAGCTTGCGATCACTATATATAAGAAATACGGTACATATAAAGACTGTGTACGCTATGTAAAGGCGGTAAGTTAGTGAATGAATGAATCTTCACTGGTCTCCCCGTTCTTCATGACATAAAATGAATACAAGCCAAGATACTGTTATTGATGAACCTTCTTTGTGTCAGTGTATATTAAAGAACACAGTTGTCATGCAAGAGTGTTTTACTACAGTACAGAGGCATATAATCTCAAATGGATTAACAAAAACATAGGAGTATGCACAAATGGGATTACAACCCTGTGCACGTAAAAGAACCCACGAATCCGTTGGTAGATGACCAGATGGTGGCCACATAAATACCTGAAAACACCTAGTTGCGGGTACAGCAACATGCAGTAAACTTGGACAAAGTACTGTGGCTATGTGTCCCAGTCCATCTAGCTGTAAATGGGTACCTCGTAAGGATGGGAAAGCCACATCAACTCAAGGCACCTGGTGACTGCAAGAGTTGAGATTGACATCCTATGACCGAGGGAAAAACAAGCGCCGAGCTGGAACTCGGCGCTATATAAATAGATTATAATATACAACAGCAGTGAATATTAGTGTTAAATACAGCAACGACTGTTGGAGGTGAATGCTGATAAGAGATTATTAGAGATAATAGTTGTTTTGGGGGATTTTGTTGTTGTTATTATTTTACCTTCTTTTGACGTTTAGAACATTAAGCATACTTTATATCTTAATGTGTTTTCAATTTTTTTATTTGTTCCAATGGTTACAAGCCAACCTCGGAGGTATAGGCCTAGAGTGACAGCAAATACAGAAAAGGGGAAGATACATTGCTGTAAAGATGTAATCATAATTATTTGCTTAACATTGGGATGAGTAGATTCCATTTTTGACTGAAATGTTCAATTTCATTGTTTCTCTTTGAAATATTTTTTTTTTTCTACAGAAATTATATCTTTTGATACCTTTTTATAATTAATGAAGTTTGGATTTGATTGTTTAATATTACATAAATTGGTATGAGATAATAGTTGAGTTGAGTTAACATTTAAAGTCACATCGGCAATATTTCAGCCGTATCGTGACTACGAAAGATCTATTAATAAAGACCAACTTAGATAAAATAGATACCCGTCAATAAAAGACAGTAAAATCACCAGACATCACAGAATTTATATTAAAAATAGTACGTAACCCTAAAAACATTTTACTCTAAAGAACAATACAATATAAAAACAGGCTGTAGATCGCTAAAACCTGAAGGTATGTCACCATACTAGAGACCATGGGGACTTAAATTGCTTTTGCTACCTGCAAGATCACTTGCTGGATTTAAAATTTGTAAACTGTAGTCGATTATGTAATCTGTAGTCGACTGTGTAAGCTGTTATCGACTATGTAACCTGGACACAGCTATGTAGACAACTATGTAGGCTGTAGACCACTATGTAGGCTGTAGACCACTATGTAGGCTGTAGACCACTATGTAGGCTGTAGACAACTATGTAGGCTGTAGACAGCTATGTAGGCTGTAGACAACTGTGTAGGATGTCGTCTAGTATGTAAGCTGTAGTCGACTATGTAGGCTGAAGGAAAATGTAGACAACTGTGTAGGCTGTAGACAGCTATGTAGGCTGTAGCAGACTATGTAAGTTGTAGTCAACTGTGTAGGCTGTAGACAACTTTGTAGGCTGTCGACAACTATGTAGGCTGTAGACAACTGTGTAAGATGTAGGCATCTATGTAAGCTGTAAACAACTATATTAGCTGTAGTCGTACATGTAAGTTATCGTCGACTATGTAAACTATAGTCGAGTAATCTGTAGCTGGCTATGTAAGATTCAGTCGTCTATTTATGTAATGTGTTAAACTATAGAATGTGCATGATGTCTTTCATATCAGTGGCATTTAGAAGTTGTACATTGATGTCCAAGATATTTTTTTAATTTTTACAGTTCACCTGATGAAGGGACCTGGAATGGTCTCGAAACGTTGTGAGAGAAATTAAAAAAAGAGTTTAATCCATAAAAAATATCTTGGATATAGAATGTGCAGTTTCCCCATTTTACTGCAACCGACTGTGTAAGTTGTAGTTTACTCAGTAAGCGCTATATTTAACTCACTCACTCACTCTTGTTTGATCAAGGAGAAGGGAAGTACATAAACACCTGTATGCTAGCCAGGGGAGGTTGGGGAGTGATGGTGAGACAGGATAGCAAGGCCAATCAGTCAGTGTCAAGTATTTAGAAACCGCCAAAAAGTCCCTATTAATATTTACCAGTATTACATAGTAATTGCATATTTGTCATTTTTTAAAAGTACTATACATTATATGTATACACCTCGCGTTACATTTAAATCCAATTAAACCGGAACAAACTCTTTGGGTGGGTCTTTTGAATGTATAAACGTATATACGTAAATTTTCTCTTTTGACGATCTCACTGGTAATTATAACACAGAAATACCTCGAGCGTGAGAAAAGTCCCCATTCGGGTTTCCCCAGTGTGTTTCGGGATGACACGACTGCCATTCAGCTCTCAACAAAATATTTACAACAGAATGCATTATACTCTGCTCGTCCACCTACCTCGTGTTACTTCAAGCCATCTGAGCAAACACGGACAAGGAGGTGGCAGGCTTATAGAACTTGTGAGAAGTAAAGTAAAGCAAATGTATGACAGCCACTATACAACGCCAGGGAATTCATTCTACAAACATCATCCGTTGTTCTAGTGAAGAATCTTTTCTCAGTCATC